CCCTCTTTTCTCAATAAATATAATTTTTTTTAAAGTTATTTTTTATTTTTATTTGAAAGAATTGCTTCTTTCATTATGTAAATACGAAAAAAAAATAAATAAAAGAGGTAGAGATAAAAAGAGACAGAGAGAAAAGAAGAGAAAAATGAAGGAAAATCATTGATAATGCTTTCTCCTTTTTTATCTCTCTCTCTCTCTCTTTCTTCTCCTCTTCCTTTCGTTTAAAAGAAAAAAGAAATTTGAAGAAATTAAAAAAAAAATATTTTATATATTTTTTTTCTCCTTTTTTTCAACTGCACATTATATATTTTTTTTTTCAACGATGAGTATGAAAATAGGAATTGATGAAATGAAAACACGAAAATATAAATTCACGAATTGGTGAATTGTTAAATTCTTTGATTTAATTTAATTATTGAATGGCCTTCTATTCAATTAAATCTTTTTTCTCTTTTAATTTAATCAGATATAAAAAAAAAATTCATTTTTTTTTTCCTTTTTCAAATGAGAAGGAAACATTGAAATGTGTCATCAATTTTAGATTTAAGAAAAATTAATTACACTGTTAAATATCATTTCGAAAATAAACCTTAAAAATATTTTTCAATGATAAGATGCATTTTATTTTTATTGTTTATTTATTTTTTCCTTTTTCCTTTTCTTTTTCTTAAATAAATTATTACTGAAAAATAATTATTAATTAAAAAAAAACTTTTTTCAAAATTTTTTGAATTAATATAATTTATAAATTTGGGTACACGGTAAATAAATACGAATGAAATTATTTAATAAATGGAAGTTTATCAGAGTGATATATAATTAAAAAATTTTTTTTCACTACTTTTTTTTTAAAAAAAAAAAAAAGAAAGGAAAATTATTTATTGAATAAAATTTTTTTGCTGATATGTTTATTTAATTGACAAGTAAATGAAGAAAATAAAAAGAAAAAAGAACAAAACAATGTTTTGAATAATATGTTTTAAATAATGAATGTTTTTCAAAAAATAATTTTTTTTAATTTTTTGAAATTTTAAATAATATATTTTTTCAATAAATAATTTTAAAAAGTATTGCAAATCATATATACAAAAAAGCTATTTTACTGCCACAATAAAATTTTTTTTTTCATTTTTTTCCATCTTATATTTTTAATATGTTTCATTTAAATTAAATAATTTCTTCAAAAACTTTTAAAATTTGCTAAGCAAAATTTAAAAGAAAAAAAAAAAGGAAAAAGAGAAATTGGGCGGACATTTTGTTACATTTTGTGTTTTGTCAGCAAAGCAAAGCTAAAAGTGCAGCAATTGGAAAAGATCAAAAGTTATTGCTTTTATAAAAATGTAAACCAAATTGCCTTTTCTCAATTTACAAAAATAAAAATTAAAAAAAAAAAAAAAAATAAATTTTGATTTTTTTGATTTCTTTCACTAATTTTTTTTTTTGTTTGCAAATTTCTAACATATATATTACGCTAACAATTAGTTTATATAGGTTTTGAAAATTTTTTTGCAATCTTTTATTTCAATTTTGATGTCAAAATTTTGAAAAAAAAACCATAGCTATTCGCTTTTGTTTCCCTTTATTAATTTCTTTTCAGTTTAATTTAATGGCAAATTTTTGAGATTTTTTAAAAAAATCATTTTTTTTAAATTACCAATAGGCTTTATTTAATATATATATTTCTTAATTTTTTTTTTTGATAATTTTACAGTTTTGCTTTTGGTTGACTTTTGAGAAATAAAAATAATTTTAATTAATCTGTTTTGTTACAATAAAAAAGCAATTTTAATTTTCATATATTTCCATTAATTCATTAATGATAAATTGATAAAAACTTGTACTAAAGTTTTTTGATTATTAAATTGTGATCAAATTTACCATTTCCTCTTTTTCCTTTCCAAGAAAATTTTTCAAAATCATTTTAATTACACGAATCATCATATTCCAATAACTCATATTGTTCTAAATCATTTATATATTACTTATCCTAAAGTTTGATCATACTTATTGTAAAATGCATATTTCATTTTACTTCATTGTATTATCAGTTACAGATTCACGTCACGTACGCTTATCATCTATTAATGTTTACAAATCAGTAAAAAATTCCTATTTTCTTTTACAATAAAAACTTTTTAGTTAAGGTAAAAATTGCGTAAGCAATAAAATTTACGAATTTATGAATATTTCAATCATTCATTCCTTACAATTATACGATTAAATGTTTTCATGATATGATTCATGTATTATTTAAATAATATAACTTTGAAATATTAACCATTTTTTTTTTTAACATAAAATATTATTGTTTTAATTATTTTTTGATCTTTGACACAAATCATTGATTTATTTATATTACTTACATTCATTTTCATTTCTTGGTAATGTAACATTTTTTCATTTCATTTCCTTTTTTTTTTCTTTTTTTTTTTAAGAGAAAGAATTTGTCGAACGTGCAGGAAACTAAATTTTTTTTTTCTTTAAACTTTAAAATTTTTCATTTTATTCTTTACAGGTCTATAAAAAAACAAATTTCAGATTTATATAGCATATGAGAAAAACAAAAGCCGCCAAAAGAAAGAGCCAAAGCTAAAATTTTAGGAAAAAAAAAATTGATATATGCTGGAAATGGAAAGCAACTTTTCATCAATATAGCATCAAAAATTGTATTTGTTTGTATGAAATTTTGAAATGATTCAAAAATGTTTATTTTATTTACCATCACAACGAAATTTAATCAATATTTAAATCAAATTTTTCACTCAAATTATTTTTATCACAATCTTAATTATTATCACTGTCATCTTTTGTTTTTGTTATTATTGCTACAATTATCCTGAATTATATTGCACTGAAAAGGTAAAAAATGCTCCTCCAACAAATAAATTTTTTTATTTATAAAATACAAAATTTTTCCGTTTATTATTTTAATGCATGAGTTAATTTTTTCTTAGAAAAAGTGAAGAAACTTTGAAATTTAAAAAATTGTGAAATTTTGCTAAAAGTTTTTGCAATTGCATTATTGCATTAACTTTTTGTCTTTAATGCTTTATTAATTATTATCACTGCTACTATTATTATTAACTTATTGTCGCCATTATTGTTATCATTATTATATTATTTATTAATTACTGCTATCATTATTAACCCATTGTTATTTTTATCATTAATTATTACTATTATTATTATCTATTATTATTATTATTACTATTATCACTATTATTAATATTATTGCTATCGTATTATCATTTCTGCTACGTTAAGGAGAAAATTTCAATGAAGAAAGTTTGAAAAAGAAAAAGGAAAAAAAAGTCTCTGATTCATGTTCCCATATATTTTAGACACCATATGTTGCTCAAAACAGAAAGAAAATAATGTGCACATTTAAATGACATTATCATCATCATTATCATTTGTTATCATTTATCATCACAATCATCATTATCATTGCCATTATCATCATAATCATCATTCCACAATAATCCTCAAAGAGCTGTTGTGCTAATTATTTCTTCCCTCCTGCTAACTTAATATATTACTGTTAACGATAGGTAAATATATGGTAGTAACCCATAAATGATAATACTATGATATTACTTGTTGAATAGGATAATGATAATGATGATGACAATCATGATAATTCATGATACTTTGTCATAATTACCTGGTTAGAATCATTTTAATTTCACGCTACACTTACTTGGGCATTAACTGATGATGACAATGATACTATTACCTGGGTAAATAACAGTTCAACAAAATCATCAACATATAATAGTAACAAATAAATTATCTCTTTTTTTTCCTAGAACGGGTAATAATAAAACAATTAACCCACCCAGCATTATGGGTAAACATTAGCATGCTTACTTATTTAATAACATATTATCATTTCTTCAATTTATTCTTATCGTTTTATTCATTTTCCATGTTTTCACTTTTCGTATACGACATTTTATTATCATTTAATTGTCATTTTGATGTCAATGAAAATTTTACAGAACAGAGAGAGAAAAAAAAAAAGGAAAAAGGAGAAAAAAAAGAAGAAGAAGAAGAAAAGGGTTGAACTAAATGGAAGGAATACAAAAACTAGGAGCAAGAAAGAGAAACAGTATTCAATAGAATTTTTTCCATTTTAAAATTCTATTCAAATTGAACGATATTTTGGATACAATTATTATTTAATATTTACTGTTTACGCTATCATCTTCTACTGCTACTATTTATTACGCTGCTTATTATTCATTGTCCAAAAAAAAAAAGAAAAAAAGAAAAAAAAAATTTCCAAATTTCCTGCCAACTTTCTATAAAAATTTTCTAAAAATTGTCTTTCATTACGAAGAAATATATAAAATTTTCATTTTTAAATGAAGAAAACTACGAAACATGTTAAATTTGAACTACCAATTAATAATAATAATAATAATAAATCAAAAAATGAAATTGATACATCATTATTATTGCTATCTGAATGTAAAAAATTTCCATCTACTGATCATAAATTTCCTAAAATTTCTCATATTTCATTATTGCGACAGAAATTACACAATGATATCAATACTAATGCAATAACAAATGTAAATTATAATTCATCTAAATATCATCCAACAACAAAATTATCATCATTCTCATCATCGTCATCATCATCATTATCACTTATCAATCAATCAAAACGATCCGTAGCAGCAAGAGCAAAAACAACAACAACAAAGTCAATTTATTCCATTAATGATAAAGCGGTTAATGCATATTTAACTAAATCAAAAATTTCATCTACAATTTCTCCAACAGCTATAAAAATTAAAAAACCATATGCTTATGCTACTTCACGTATTTCTCATATTAATACAACAACAATTCCTCAATCAGTGCAAAAAAGTTTGCAATTGATCAATTGTAATTCGATCTATTTACGATCAAAACTATCACCACCACCAATTGATATCACTCGAAAGTTTTCTACTATTTGTTCAAAAAATGAAAATTCAACAAATATACCTATGCAATTATCAATGACATATATGGCTGACAAGAATTTTGGTAATGGACAATATCAAAATGATAAGATGGAAATGTTACAATTGAATATTCCATGGAGGAAAATTTTTTCAACAGCTCAACAAAATCATTTAACACTTATCGATAATTTGGTAAGTTTAAAATTTTAGACTTTCATAATTCACTTCAAAATTGAAGTATACATTTTTGTATTTTTTTTTATTATAATTAAAATTTGATAAAATAGAATGTTAGAATGTAATAGGTAAAATAAAGTAATAAAAGAGATTAATGTAAAATGATTTGATAAATATTTACAATATCAAATATAAATTAAACTTTTAAAAAAAACTAAGTTACAATAAATTTAAGAATTTTTAATGTTTATTCATTTGTATATGTTTGCACTTTGCAAGGTATTTGTTGAGATGAATATATTAGGATTGAATTGTTAGTATTTGTTATAAAGTAATACTTAACATTACTGCTAGTAAAACTATTCCAATTTTTCTTCATTCTTTAGAATTTCAAAAATTATTTGCCAATTTTTTCAAAGTTTCAAAAATTTTCCATATTCCTTTTAAAATTTGTAAGATATTAATTTATTGTTATCTTATGTGAATTTTTGAAATTTTAATTAATTTCAAAAAAGAATGAATTATTTTTTCTTGTTTTTATTTATTTATTTTTTTTTTTTTAGAATGTATTCACAACAACAGCAATTTTCGTGTTCCATTTAAAAATTTTTAAAAAAAAAAAACTTTTTTTTTTTTTTTTTTTTTGCTGCATTTAAAATAATTTAGTTTTGTTAGAATGCTAATTTATTGATCATACAGTTTAAGTGCTTTCTTTCACTTTCTTTTATTCTTTAAAATATGAAAGAAAGAATTAGAAAAAAAAAAAAAAATTTTGAAGAAAATTTTGAACACATTGTTTATTGAATTTATCCAAAAATAAAAAAAAAATAAAAAATAAAAGTAAACACAAATTGCACTTATTTCTTTCACAAAAAGACAGCAAAAATGTTAACAAACATTTCTGCTTCATCAATTCAATAAAATGTTATCATGAAAAATGCATGTGAAATGGAAGGGAACAAAAAATGATGAAAATGGAATTAAAAGCTATTTTGCTAATTTGGAATGATAGTTCAAGATCTAAATAATTTATCAGTAAAGTTCATTCCTAATTATATTTACAAAATTTATTAATTATATTAATGTATATAATTTAATAATAGAATAAATATACCTTAATAATAAATTACAGTTTAAATATGTAAATTTTTTTTTTAATTCTTTTTTTTATTTATTTTTCTTCGTTTCTTATTGTTAGCTTTATCAAAATAATAATATTTATATATCATATCTAATTTAAGTTTGTTTATTTGTTTTTTTTTTTTTTGTTATTTAAATAAATTTTGTCACATAACTCATCAAATTTGCTTACTTCCTCGTTTTTTTTTTTTCGTTTTTGACATAGAATTTCATGGCAAATATGCTATATACATTTAATTATACATTTAATTTATTTACCACAATATGATAAGTTTTTTTTTTTTTTTTTTTGTTCATTTTTATGAGTTTTTTTAAAAAAAAAAAAAAAAAAAAATGAATACTTTATTCTTTTTTTTTTCTCTCTTTCAGTCTCAATAAATTGACCTAAAAAAATTTCAAATATTTTGAGTACGTGTAAATATATTGAAAAGAAAGACGGTAATTCGTGTAAAATATAAAAGTAATCCGTGTAAAAATGTTTAAAAAGAAAAATTGAAAAAAATTTGAAATTATTTCTAACAAAAATTTTTTGATATAAATTTGCACTTTGTTATATTTCCTTAAATGATACAACGAAAAGAAAAAAAAAAAAAAAAAAAAGAAAAGAAAATTCAAAGCTAAAATTTATGTTTGCTCATTTTAAAAATGTTTAATAATAGCAATAAATTATTGCAATTTTTTCTTCCTTTTTTTGTGCTTTATTTTTCTTTCTTTCACGAATTTTTCATCTTTTAGCGTTTATTTTTAATTTAAAATACATTAAATTGATTAATTGCATTGCAATGCATGCCATGCATCTCACAAAATGCATGCAATCAATCAGTGATTCAATCAAATATATTTTCAAATAAATGCAAAAAATGATTTCTTTTTAAGTACTTAAGTATAATATATTATAGTTATCATAATCAATGTCTATTTATAATTATTAATATTATCTTCCATTACAACAGTTTATCATTTTACAATTATTTTAATTTCAATATTAAAAAGTATATTCGAAACATTAAGCGTTTTAGAAGCGAAAACATTTAACGAAAACATCTAATGAGGCTCCTTTTTTTTTGCTTTTTATTAAAATGTTTCTGTTTTCTTTTTTTAAATTTAAACACTACCAATTATTTACTCAAAAAAATTTCTTTCTAAACAATTTTTTGGCCGCCAATTTTCTTTTTCCATTTAATTTTTATTAAATCTAATTTAATTATCTTGCAAATAACTTGAATAATTCAAATATTTATTCTATTACACTAATTTTAATTTCTTTTTAGAGACGAACAATAAGTTTTCTGTATTTAGCATTGAAATTTTTGCTTTTTTTTCTTAAAAAAAATTTAGTTAAGTTATTTTGTTTATTCTGTTAATTTTATAACTAATTAATTATAACATTTTACTTCTTGTCTTTTCTCTTTGGCTTCTCTGTAGAATTTGAATTAAAAAAACAGAAAAATAATTTAGCAAACATTAATTAGTCAATATGATTGTATTGACTAATCAATATGAATTATTGATTAACTAGTAAATTATACAATAATACTTAAATTATGGGGTTAAAAATTAAATATATTAAAAGTAAAAGTAATTAAATTTTTTAAAATTTAAACAAATTTGTTCTATTTTGAACTTAAAAACATTTATTTCATTAAAGATGAAATGTTACAGAATGTGCGCTGAAGACAGTTTTGATAAATGGAAGTATTGTTAGAAAATGCATTATAATGAAGTGTTATAGGAGGGCACAAATAATTAATTGTTAAAATTTATCAATTTTGAATCAATGAATGAATGAATGGATGGATGGATGGATGGATGGACATTTATTTATTTTAATCATTTATAATTTTTTCATTCAAAAAAGAAATTTCAAGTTTGAAAGTGAGTTAAATTTTAACTTAAGATATTAAATTAATAAAAATTAAATTAATTTATAAGTGTGAATTATGCTTAATAGTTTTTAAGCTTAACAGAAAAAAAAAACAAACATTTTTATTTGCCTTAAAAAATTTTTCAACTTTTGAAATCACAAAAAAAAGCAATTAATTTAAAGTGAGATATTTGATAAAAAAAATTAGATTGAAGATTGTATTTAAATTTTTGATAGATACTGAAAGTATTATTAGACTAATAATATATGTGAAAAATAAAAACACTTCAAATTGTGAAAAAAAGAGGAAAGCAATGAATGAAGAATTATGAGGTCAAATTAAGGTCATTGAAATTATTTCAAATTATAATTTCGTTTGATAATAATACATCAACAAATAATCATTTAATCAATTAATCAATAGCATTTCTAACTATTGGACGAAGTTTTTTCTCATTTAACGTTTTAAATATTAATTAAATATAACAAATAAAATTTAAACATATATATATATATATATTTTTTTTTTTGGAAATAATATAATAATTAAAAATTGCAAAGGGACAAATTCCTCAAAGTAATATAGTAGAAAAAAAAAAGTATTTTATTCGGCAAATGAAAAGTATGAATTGATATGTGGAAAAAATAAAAAAAACCACCGAACATTTCTCAGAAATCAATTTTTAATGTCAATTGAATTAAATTCGAATATGCATACTTCTTTACATTTTTCTTTTTACAATACCACAATAATATATTTGTGTTTATACTTATATTTATTATTTATATGTCTATTTAAAGATGTCATCAATAACTCCATTAGCTGTTTCCATTTTAATTTCATCTAATTAAATTGCTTCTTGTTTTTTCTACGAAATTGTCAAAAACTAATGGTTTAAAAAATAAAAACAAACAAAGAGAAAGACAAATAAATATGTTTTAGCGTAATTATCAAAAATTATTGTTGTTGTTACGTTTATCGTTACCATTATCCTTGTCATCGTCCTTGTCGTCATTCTTATTTTTGTCATTGTTATTATTATTTTTGTTGTTATTGCTATTGTTATTATTGTTTGTTATTGTTTGTTGTTGACTTTTTTGTTGTTATTTGCTATTGTTATTATTGTTTGTTGTACTGTTACTATTATTATTTCATGCATTTATGCGACTCATTGAACTTCTAATGTGTCATTTTTATCAGTCGTCTAAAAAAGAAACAGGAAGGAAAAATGGATTAATTTATTTATTTTTTTAAAAACAACTAGAAATGCGCAACAATTTAAATATTTATATTTTTTTTAATCTTTGATTTTATTGGCTGGCTTTTTTCATGCACAATTGTATAGCTCTTATGATTGATAAACAAATAAATTATTAACAGATAAAAAGAATTGGGTTAGCAATTAGGTAAGCATAAGAAGAATAAACAAATAATTAGCTAAATTATCAAATAGCAATAAAAAAATGAAACTAGAAGGATTATTAATAAAACTGGAATAGAAGAAAATAAATCATAATTTATGAGTTTTTATGCTATATATAAAATTTATAAGCAAGAAAACAAAAAAGAATAATTGAACAATGAAGAACAAATAATAATAAATAATTAGAAATGAATATAATAGTGCAATAATTTACTAAAATATGAATATAATAATTAATAATAATAAAAGAGTAATAATGGATAAAAAAATAACAAATAAGTCGAAATGATAAAAAATAAAAGTAAACAAATGTGCGGAATTAGTAATTTGGGAAATAAATAATATAAATTTGATTGAATTTGTGAATAAAAGTAATTTTTCGATAAAATTATTACTGTATTTTATTGTCAACTGGCATACATTAAACAATCATTTATCATTTTAATTGCATAAATCATTTTGATAAGTGAATATTTTAATGTTTCATATATATATGTCAAACTAATTTATTCTATCTAATATTCATTTACTAAATTATCATTCAGATGAAAGTTCAAATTTTAAATTTGTGCTAAATGATAACATCA